AGTCGTACCCCACACACTACCCCAAGCCCTGAGGCGCCCTACTCGACAACGAAAACAAGTACAGCGACTACAGTATTGAGGAAAGAGAGATGTTGGAAAGTGACGCCAGCCCCAAACAGACTCATCTGCAAGCGCTAGTGGCGCATGCCTTTGTGCTTGCTATCTTGTGGAGCCCATTCCTCTGAATTCGTCTGAAGAAAAATGCTCTCGTGCCACATTGTGTTTTTCTTGTCTGTGATGAGCGATCGGCCTTAGGGGTGTTAAATTATTCTACAGAACCTGTCATGCTATCCCGTGGATTGCGACTCGTCCTCTTCGAAAAAAGTTTGACCAGTTTCATTGCATCTTTAAGCGACGAGAGCGCAGACCCTATTCGTACAATGCACTATACAGAAGCCAACTTTCTAAGTATGGTAAGTCGCTATCATCAGAAAAACATCAAGCTTTGGTCAAAGTCCTTGCAAAGCACACTACTATATTTGACTCTACGCAGAATAAAGAGCAAATACTCGTCACGGGATTGACACAGGATCCGCTCACCCTATTTAGCAGAAACCATACAGTGTCCGATTTGCGGAGCGCAAGGTAATTTCTCAACATATTGAAGATATGTTAAAGAAAGGGGTCATCCAAGAATCGTGTAGCCCTTGGGCTGCTCCTGTGATTCTTGTCCGGAAGAATGGTACATGGCGATTCTGCATGGACTACTGACGCTTTAACTCTGTTACTAAAAAGTATGTCTACCCACTTCCCAGAATTGATGATGTCATGAATTGTTCACATGCTACATCATTCTTCTCCTCCATTGATTTCAGATCTGGCTATTGGCCCATCCCCATGTATCTGAATGACAAAAAGAAAACTGCCTTCATAATCCCAGATGGTCTTTTTGAATTCAATGTAATGCTTTTTGGCCTTTGCAACGTGCCAGCCACGTTTGAGCGCTTCATGGACACTATATTGTGGACTTAAATAGGAAGTTTGCTTTTGTTACCTAGACGACATTATCATTTTTGGTTGTACAATCGATGAGCACAACCATTGTCTAGACATTGTTCTCACCTGCCTCGAGACAGCTAAGGTCACCCTGAACTCTAAGAAGTGTCGTTTGGGCAACAGTGAGACTCTGGTTCTCGGTCACCTGGTTGACAAGCATAGCATTTGACCCGACCCTCAGAAAGTCGCTGCAGTCACGAGCTTCAAACATGCTCAGTCTGTACAAGAGTTGCGAAGCTTTTTGGGCTTATGCTCGTACTTACCCTCCTCAGTCAATTCTAAAGTTAGGCCATTCGCTGACGATTGTGTCATTTACCGTACCATTTCATCTGAAACTGATCAACAATCTCTACAATCTGATCTTGTCTCTTTAACTTCGTGGTGCACAGCATGGCAAATGACACTAAATCCTTCAAAGACTAAGCTAATGTGTTTTACTAAAAAAGCGTCCCGTATTCCAATGTCTTACTTGCTAAATAATACTTCAGTGGAGCTTACGACCCCTTATAAATACCTTGGGGTTAACATTCAGTCTGACCTGTCATGGCATCACCACATTAATGTCACCCTTGCTTCAGGAAATCGCTCACTCGGGTTTCTTAAACGTAACTTGCAACACACCCCCTCGCATTTGCGTGAACTGGCTTATATCACCCTAATCCGCCCTAAAATAGAATATGCCTCGGGCTTTGGGATCCCGATCAAGACTATATTATTAAAATCATCAAAGCCCTGCAGAACCATGCTGTACGTTTTATCTTTTCTGATTATGCACGTCACATCAGCCTCACTTCATTAAAACTTCGTGCCGAACTAGAACTCTTATCACGTCGTCGTAAAATTGCTCGCTTATCACTACTTCATAAGCTCTACCATCACACATCACTTCACGAGGACTTCTTTAGGCCACCCCCTGCCATCTTTCCGCGCCACGATCATCCCTTTAAAATCAAACGCTTTCCTTGTCGCACATTTCATTATGCTAGATCCTTCATACCGCGCACAATAACCGTGTGGAATGACTTACCATTAAACATTGCAACCGTCACCGACATCACTGTATTACAGAACCTGCAACACATGAGTGCAAACAAGTGAACCTTTTGCGGTATTACCCCCCTCTTTCTTCTGCAAACTGTGTTTTCTGTATAAACTGCGTATGTTCATGGTTCGTGTTATTTTTTGCTGTGTTAGCCTAATTCAGTATTTCACACGTGCTATTGTTGATGTTGTCATTCCTTTATGCTTTAATGGTGCGTGTGCTTGTAGTAAGTTAGATTGCGTTTTATTGTACTCTTGTGACTCCGTTTCCTTTCTTGTTTAGATCAATTTTAAAATATTATTATAGTTTCATTATTGTTTGACTCATATTATTTGTTCTGATTATTTAAGACTATGCGGTAAGAATATTGACCTTGTATTTACTCTAATCTATTTAGCAGCTGTATAGTGTTTAGTTTACGTGTTTTCTGGTCCTATTAATCATTTCATGTACCTGTATGTGTTATAGCCCCTCCTATGTAATACCCTACTGTGAAAGGGCGCTTAGGGTATTCTGAATAAATAAATAAATAAATAATAAATAAATACTTCAATCACTTCGTGCCGAAGTTGGCTGACCTTGATTAACCCTTGACGTCCCTACTCAACAAAGACACGCCGTTCCGGTGGTCAGCAGACCACCGTTCCGTGGTCTTCCGTTCCGTGGACCGGAACGTCCACCGTTCCGTGGACGGGAACGTGGTCAAAAAAGACCACCGTTCCGGTGGTCTTTTTTGCAACTAAAGTTGGTTCTTACGTAAGGGCCCATACTTCACCACAACGATCCATCTGCTGACACAGAAGTTCATAATGATGCCTGTGGTGTAGGTATCGGCGCCGTCTTAGTACAACGGCATGCAGCTGCTGAACACATCGTTGCTTATGCCAGATGCCGTTTAAGTAAACCGGAGCCCAACTACACTATGCGAATAGAACACTGGGGGCACTTGCTTCCAATTCTCAACGAACAATGCCTGTCAGGTCTTCCAGCAGCGATGGACGTCCTGGTGCCGACTGGTCTTCGCAAGTTGACATTGCAACAGTGTTTGGAAGTTTAGCGAATGATTTCAGAATGCGGCGACTTTTCACTTGCTCGAAATGACAACAGTCTTTGATGATTGGGTCCACGGTGAAGCAGCTCTTGCACATCAGGACAGTGAATACGTCGTTGGCGATCCCTTTCAGCACATGCCCAGCCTTGTCACCTTCCATCATGTCTTTGTCGGTCTTTCAGCAGAGGGCCAGCACGTCTTGAATGTATGAGAAGTATGATTCCGTAGGGAATCGGGCACGGCAGGCCGATTCCTTTTTGGTGGCGATCTTATGGCTGGTGGGTTTGCCAAATAACTCTCGCATCTTTTTTTTGCATTGGTCCCAGCTTATGAGGTGTTCTTGGTTGTTTTCATACCACACCTTGGCCGTGCCTTTCAAGTAAAAACACATTAGTCAACTGAAGTGTCGGACCCAATCTGTTCGGCCCACTGATGCGTTCAAGGCCAACTAATCATCAATGTCGACGCCATCAGTACCGCAGAATGTACTGGAATCCTTAAGTGACATGAAAGCGTACGGTGGTGATGCCATGTTTGACGGAGACTCTGACGAAGCAGAGGGCTCAACGTTGGCTATGGCTGGGAAAGCAATGTGACGTCTGCTGCGGAGCTCCATTGCCTGATGTTGTACCCAGCATTTCTCAGCAATATGTTACAGAATCGGTGGTGTAGCAGAATTGGAAGCAGAGGCAAGAGTCACGATGGCAGACTGACACACTCGCGCGCCTGTCAGCTGCCCCTGCCCTTCGTCTTCGTTCACTTCATCTCCGTAACAAGAGCTTTAGCCTTCTCTCACAGAGATCTCAGAGCAAGTGAACTGCTTGGCGTGGGCACACTCCGGATTTTCACCCGCCATCGCCCGTTTCCCCCACGAAACCCGTAACAATATCAGTGAGCACCAAAAAATCGCCAGAGTTCCCTTTTAAGGGACAATAAAGGCATATATTAAGTCGACGTTGATTGTTGAAATATTAGTCCAGAAACATCGCAATGCTACTTTTGTGCCAAGGAAGTGCTTATTTTGAAGTAAAATCACGTAATAGAGGTCCGCATCGCACTAGCGCTCTTCAAATGACCTGCCTGAGAGCGGCCTTTCTGACATCACTATCGCCATGCCAAACATTGCCCGCCTTTACGGCATGGCTGCCCACAGTAGTAGCAGCAGAGCGAAAGCAGTGAAAACCACAGAAGAAACAATGGCGATTGAACAATTTTCTGCATGTTTCGCTTAACTGGGCCCTGCTAGATGGCACCATTCAAGCCATTCTATTCTACATGGTAACGCCAGGAAAGCTGTTCTTTTTAACGTGATAGTGTTGAAGAGATCGTTTCACCAAAATTCCAGCGTTCTGGGTCTGAGTGGGGACCGAACCCAGTTGATTTGCGTGGGATGTTCTATCACACGGCTCCCCTAATTTTTTTCTATGAATCAAACACAAATGGACAAACAGCATTTTACTACGAGCACGGAAGATTACTGCAGCTGGTTTGATTACCAGTGATGAATTTTGGTTGTGGACGCTTTCATGTCATTTCAAAAATGTCCTATTTGTGGCACCATGTGGTGTCGTACATTTCTCAATTAGTAGAGCACTGCTGTTAATAATGCTGACGTTTTAGATGTTCTCAAACATTGATATTTCACTCTGATGTAAATTGTTATATGTCTTTAGTGTCAAAGTAGGACTAACTAGAGTTAGATATTTTGCTGTTTCTCAACTCCTTAGGTACTTGATCTATGGTTATAATGCTTTAAATAAAGATTGCCAGGTACTTTCTGAACAATCTGTACCTCTTAAAATTGTTTCCCACTTGGGAGGGCGCATCTTAAAAACCACTTTTTCAATTTCTCGCTTTGGATAGCCCTGTGTGACACTGTAAAGCCAGCAGCTGTGTTAAGGAAAAGCTTACTCCAGCGGGCAGCCTGTATCCGGAAAGCACCACGTCCTCAGGCAGGACTCTCATTACACCAGGCACAGTTGGGCTCAACCTGAAAGCAATTAGGCGGCACTTTCTGTTTAGGGTTTCTTTTAGTTTAGTTATAAAACTTGCTGACTTATTTGTGTGCAGATTCTAAATATGCAATTATTGTTCCATATAACATATTGTTTTTTTTTTTTAAATCACGCATTTCATATGCTACTGGAAGCCCCAGTTTGCATAAACTGAAGGAGTTGCAAAGTAATCAAGCAGATCAAAATGAGTACAGAATGCAAAAAAACAAAAAAAACAAGAACAAATGTTTCAAATTTGAACGAAAGTTATTGGAAATTGAGCAACAAGTCTCTGGCATGCTGGGATTTCAGTCACAAATGTTCAACAAAATTTCATCATATGGGTTTCAACCATGCATTTGTGTTTTCTCACACTCTGTACTCATTCCAGGTCATTCTGATGTGCTTAATCACTTTGCAACTCTCTCAACTTAAGCAAACTATGGCTCCCAAAATGGCAACTGAAATTTAAAAAGTTATATATTCCACTACAACAATATTGCATATTTGAAATCGGCACTCAAGTATACATAAACTCCAATATAGAATTTTTTAGGCACCGTGCCCTCCGTAATGCGTGCACTCTTTTATGAACACTCCCTTCTTTACCTATTTCACATTTGGTCAAAAATGCATGTTTATGAACAAAACATCAAGCTGCAGGGATTAAAAAAAATGATAGTTGTGCTGTACTGGTCAAAGATATTGGGCAGCACCAGCTCCCCACTGCTCTAGTTATCAGATGTGCACAGCACTCTAGGCAATCTTGACAGTCTCCGCCAATGTCATTGGCAAGTTTTCGAATAGAGCCCCCAAAAGTATGGGGCCCCGAAGAAATAGCGTCAAGGCCACTGTGCATGCACCGAACCCAAACCACGTTTGGGTTTTGGGTTGGAGACGCTATTTCTCCAATTTAGCGAGAGCCCTAAAGCCTGCCCCAAAAGCTTTGCGTCAGAGAAATGTGACGGCACCCACTGAAGTGACATGAACAAGAATTTGGAGAGTATCCAAAGTGCCGCAGACCCTATTCGAAAACTCCTGCTTGACCTCAAGTGTGCATATGCAAAGCGCTTTGGGGCCCCAAAATCTTGGGGCCCCTCCCTATTCGAAAACTCCCTATTAGGTCACAGTGATGAATAATTCTTGCCCATTGTCATAATTTACAATGATGAAAATTGTTTTTCAAGTTTCCCATTGACAGCAAGGGGAACTTCAAGAGGGAAGCTGTCGTATGACCAAACGGGAAGATCAATAGAGAACTTGAAAAATTAATTTCTTCATAAAAACAAAAATTTTAATGATAAAACTTGCCACATAAAAAGAACTGTTTATTTGCTTTCAATTTAGGTATAAAGGTGAATTTTAATTGCGTGTGCAAGTTACATCTCAATGCGGACAAAAATGAGAATTTTGTGAGAATCATAATTTCTTCTCGTGAAGTTTAGCAGCTTGAAGGGTCTAAAAATATTTTATCCGCAACATACATGTTTTGTGAAGTAAGTGTTAATATTGCTCATACAAAGTGCTATAGAAAAATATGCAAACATAACACATTTCGGTACTTGTGCGCTAGAAAATTCCGCTTATACTACTGAGCTTTGAATACATAACACAAGCACCTTTACTTACTATGTAGACCAAATTTGGTATAGAAAGAAGGAGTGGTACTTTTAAAATAAATTTCTTTTTGCTATGAAAACCCAGATGACATTTTGGAAGTTCAGAAGGCACCCACGTGACTCAAATTTTTTTCTCTCCAAAATATTTTAGCAATACACCATTTTCAATGCAGTAAAGGTTTTTTTGGAGTACATTCCAGATGGTGTAGAGTGACCCCATTGCATTCATGGCTTAACCTTTAAGTGAAACTGATTTGTTCTAACAGTGAGCTACCAACCCTGGAGAGCAAAGGGGGTTGCGTATCATAGTGTAGCCACTTGACAGCACGACGTCGGGGCTGTTTGTGACAGCCTCCATAGTGACTGCTGCACATATTATAACAAAATTGCGGCTGCTCCAACCAGAAAAGATACATTTATTAGTGAGATGACATTTTAACAGTGGAACTGTTCAAGTTGACCGTTAGTCTGTGCAGAGCGAGCAGAAACCTATTTTCGTCTTCACCAACTTGACAACAGTTAAAAAATTGACACATCACTGTTCATCACAGTCCCGCATAACCCGACGCAAACATTCACTCACACTAAAAGAGCACTTTTACCACAATGGCACTCTATCACAGGGTGGAACTGTCTATATCCCTCTCAGTCTCAAAAATTGAAAATATTGCCACGTTCCATTTCTCAAGTTTTGTTATCGTCCCAAAACACTACACAATTCTCAGCACAAAACGCACGTGCAGTTTTTGAGAAGCTTCCGGACTTTAGTAGATCATTTCGATAAGATCACGCCCACTCTGCGAACTGTACAGATTATTCTGGAACCTATGCCACCGCCAGCGATAACGCTACAACATTCGATGGCAAGAGTATAAAAGCCGATGCACTTCGCCGCTTGTCAGTAGTTGATTGACGGCCGACGCTCCGTTCGCCGCTATCAGTCCAAGACTGCTACTGTAATCAGACTTTCCGTTTACCGGGCACAGGTTCGCCCAAATAAAGAGTTAAATTCCAACTCAAGGTCTCCCGTCTTCGGCCACGTCACGACCCCGTGACAATATCATGTGAATGTACTGTAACCTTCCCAGTCCATGATTCATTGCATTACCATTCCAGGCATGTCAGTGCAGAGTGGTTTCTGTAACTTGTACACAGAGCATTTTATTTCATGTATACTTTCTCTAATATTTGTAAACAATGTGTATATTTAAGGGGAGACGCTCCTCGAAAAAGTTTTTTTTTATTTCTAGTAATAGAGACTTGAAAAGTTTGTTATTAGTATAGTTTTTCATGCAGATTTCAAATATGCAATCATTTTTTGTGTAGCTGCTATAATTATTGAGTTATGCCATAAACAATAGCAAAAAGTTACATTTTTTGCGGGCACTCTTTTATGTACTAAACTTTCAGTAAAAGCACTGTGTCTGATCTTATTTGACTCTTGGTAGATTGAAAAGTGCAAATATCTATATAGATATGTCAGAGAAATATTGGAACCAAGAAAAAAAAATTGTATTGAATGACTTATTATTTTCAATCTCCCTTGAAACAATAAGCTAATATTTTCACAACTAATGCTGGTAGGCATTGCAATTTAGAGTAGATATTTGCATTCTGCATGTGTTGAAGAATATGTGTGCCAAGTTTCGTTACTATGCAATGAATATAAGTTTCTAAAAGCCTGCCCGGAAAACGTGAAACTGTCAGAAAAAATGAAAATGAGAAAAACAAGTTTGAAAGTTCGCAAAGTTGGCATTTATTAGGAAATCATTCTTTTTGCATCAAATTGGGGCACAATGAAAAGTACCTTGCCTTGAATGCACTGCAAGTGTCTAGAAGTCCCCTGCACCATAGCTTGGTCCTTCACGGCTCTTGCGGTCAGTGTCCTCAACACGAGCTCTCTTCGCTGTGTTGCGACGGTGTGCCCTCGCTTCTGCAGTTTGCTTCAGGTTCATCTTCCTGATGCGCATGACGTCACAGTGGTCACCATGTGTGGCTAGATCTTGTGAGGGGAGAATTCCAATGCCTTCGAGCACTTCTTCAAAGCCCCTGTGGCCTTTGTTGTACCAGAGTACAGCAAGAGCGGTGGCTGTCTCCACAGTTGTTCTGGAGGCGAACTTTGTTTTTGGACATAGCAGCCATATCTTGCTGTTCAGCGATTCGGCTGCATTCTGTGTCTTGCCATGAAGGCACCGAATAAGGAGTTTCTCCTCTGTAAGGCGCTTGTAGATAGGCATAATTGCCAATCCTTGAGCCTTCGTCAACAGTGGGGTGTGGCGTGGTGCAGGCTCCCCCAGTGCTTCCGCACGCTTGTGCTTGCACCACGAATTTGGTCCCGCGGGGCAAAAATTGTGGCTACTGGCACCATCACTGGAGCAGCAATGAAAATACGATGCCCATATGGCAGTGTACATATTTCGGACACTGTCCTTGTTGCTCGTGATGGCGATCTTGTAATATGATTGTAGTTTTATTATTGTCGCATCTTTCAGTTTTTCGCCTCGTGGCAGTGGCGTTGCCAATTTCCGTAGGGCAGTTCCCAAGCGCTTTGCAACGTGGTTCGTGCACTCTTCTTTGTCAATGGGGGTGTCACAGTATACATTTGCCTTGCAGACTGCAGTGTAGGCCTTGCTGTCACCATCACTTAGGAAGCTGGTGAATCGCAGTGGAGTTTCATAAGACAAGGTCCTCTGCCATATATTGACAGCTGCCGCAGGTTCCATTGCATGGGATGAGCAGTCAGTGTTTTTTTGGCAAACTGGAAGATGAAAAGCTCGCCATATCTCTTCATCCTCCCCAAGGTCCCTGTATATACTGCAAGCATGGCAGTAGTTCGAAAGAACTTCAAAATCGAGGCAGAGCCCCGTGTCCAGGGACACGACTGTGCCCACTCCATTGTGGCTTTTATGACCTCTTTTCTGCCAGGTGCCATCAAATATGACTGGCACATCTCTGCCGCTGACTGCGTCCTTCGTGATGTTTCGTGCCTGGTGCAAGTTTTTGCTCACTGCCGTCATCGCCGCACCATGGAGCTTCTTGCAAATGCCGTTGAATGTCTTGTGATGCATCGGGCTCGGAAGACCGAGAATCGCACAAAATCGTGAAAGTTGGTCGTGGCCTGCGCCTATAGCGCGTGCTGCCAGAACTGCCTTCACGTTTACAGCAAAGCTGCCACGCGAGCTGCCGCTGTCAAAACGAGCGCTTGTTCCTTGGTCCCCGGCCGAAGCAGTACGTCTCGACGTGTGCGTGAACGAAAGTGCAGATTCAGGGCAATCAGAATTTTGACAGCACAGTTCGAGGAATGCCGAAAGTCCTTTGCGCTTTCCAGCTGCCTCTCGCACGCCGAGCTTCCGTTCGCGGCAGGTTGGGCATTGCGC